CACCCGTCTGCGACGCGATTGTCGACGAGCACGGCACTGAGGTCGTGCATCTGCTCTGCGACGGCGGCTACGTCAATAACCTGCCCGCCGACGTGATGCGCCGGGAGCTCGGCGCGTCGACCATCGTCGCTAATTAATTAATTAGTGTTAATTAATGTTTAATTAGTGTTAGTTACTAATTAGGCGCGTCGACCATCATCGCCGTCGACGTGCGCTCCGAGACGCCCTTCCTCTCGCCCAACTACGGCGCCTCGCTGGGCGGCCTCTCCTTCCTCCTCCGCCGGCTGCGCGCGTGGATCGCCGGCGAGCAGGCGCCGGGCGACGTGCCGTCGATGGCGGCCATCGCGTCGCAGCTGGCCTTTGTCTCGTCCGAGGCGGCTATGACCGCCCGCCCCTCCCCAGAGCGCCGACAGAGAGACGGCAGAGCGCCGACAGAGACGCCCCGCGCCCCGCGACTCGACAACCCTGCTCTCCTTGACCCCGCCCGGTTCGAGACCCCGCTCAGTGGCAGCGCGACGAGGCGCGCGACGTGCACGCCGACCTCTACCTGCGGCCGGCCGTCCAGAACTTTGGGCTGCTGCAGTACGCCGCCCTCTCCGAGATCCAGAGGCTTGGCTACATCCACGCCACCGAGGCCCACCGCCCGGACCAGCTTGGGCGTGCGGGCGGCGTCTCTTCACCAACCCTGCCCCCGACAATCTTAGGAGCTGGCGCGGTGGAAGCGGGAGCTGCGCGAGCGAGGCGACCCGAGGTGCGTCGTCTTCGACCTCGCTGACTTGGCCGGCGACCCGCGCTCGGCTGGCCCTCGACGTGTCGCCTCGGCCGGCACCAAGACGGGCACGCCACGCCACTTTGACGCGACGGCGCGACGGCTGTCGGAGATCATTGGCGAGCTCAAGGAGGCGTCTGGGAGGAGGGCCGACGCCGTGCGGAAGGGGGTGGACGCCGTGCGGATGGGGCTGCGGCTCAGGCGCAGCCGCAGCTTCACGGGCACCACGCGGGCCCGCGCCTCGAGTTGGGACGCGTCCGTGGATTGGGGAAGGGAGGGGCTCCGGAGTCGGGATTGAGAGACAATAATGCATTGGAGTCTCGTGTTGAGATTCACAGACGGTTCAGCTGCAGTTCAGTCGATCGGGCGAGATATTGTCCAAGGCCACAAAAAGAGTAGCAGTTATTGTAAGAGGCGGAAGAACGGAGGTCGTACGGCTTTAGCGGAGTTACTTACTTGGAGGGTGTCGTGTGGAGTCAGCTGTCAGGGCCGAGAGAGAGGGGGAGGGCCGCCCGCGCCCCCCGCCCTTGCCGCCCACCACGCACCACTTTCCCCCCCTCCCCCATTCCTCTTCTCACTTTTTTCCCCCCTTTATAGCGGCGGCGAACACCCAGAGTAGGCATGCAGCTACATTTAAATTTACTTTCATAGGGCGAGAGCTTTGTTTGCCGCCGTCCCGGTGCTGATATTTCCGCGCTTAATGTTTGAAGGCGAGTTTGAGCTGCTGGCGGACCCCTGCCGTGCTCAAGTGCTCACAAACGAGAGAGAGGGGATTTAGAAAAGAGAGTTTGTGTATCAGCATACAGCAACATCACACGGCTCCGCGTGCGTGCGCCGAATGCCGCTGCTTGCCGACGCAGCGCCACCACTATGCGGAGGAAGTGCAGAAGTTATCCCCAACGTCTTGCACAAGATTTGGATCGGAGAGACTTGCCCGCCAATGCAGGATCTGCTCTCATTGCTCGCGGCCACGGTCTTTCTCCAGCCTTCCGCCATCAAGTACCACGTCGGGAAGGATGTGCCTGCATTGTCCACTTGCACCGGTTTCGGCATGCTGTTCGCAAACCGCAGCTTCCAGCAGTTGGCCATCGATGAGACTGCCCTGCCAAAGCAGCTGAAGCTGGCTGCCCACAAAGCGGACGCCCATCGTGCAATGGTGTTGCATCAGTATGGCGGCTGGTTTCTCGACGGTGACGCGTTTGTTGTGAGCAGGGACGTGCAAAGGTATCGTCGCTGCCGCGTTTTTGTGTTGGGAACTGAGCACGATCGTGCCAAACCTCCGCGTCGTGCCGACGGGAGGCCAAACATAGCAAACAACGACTCGTGGTCCGGCAAACTCAACAATGGCGCTATGCTTGCGCCGCCAGGCACTAGCTTCGGGAAGGACTGGCTCCGCTATATGCGTACAGGCTCATGGCGCAAAGGCGTGAACAACTGGGACTACGCGTCGTGCGTTTGGCCTACCGAATACATGGCAAGGCATCCTAGTGCACTTATTGGCGCGCTTGATGTGCGCACCTTTCCTTGGCGCAAGTTTGGCTGGGCCCCGAGCCTTGGCTGGGATTGGCACGTGCGAGCGCTTGTGGAGGCCGGCGCGACCGTCCTGCACGTGACAGGCGGACCCCCCCTCCGCCCTCTACCCCTCCCCCACCCACCACACACGGCCCCCTGCCCTCGATCAACCCCTCCCCGCCTCCCTCCGGGCCCCGACAGCATGGAAGAAGCGTGCGCGCGATGAGATGCGGAATGAAATTGCGCATGCAATCCTCGCCATCATCGAGCGAGCCATTGCCGAGGATCGCGCATCCCATGGACACCTTCGGCCTGTGCTGACGATCCTGCAATCGTGGTCGGCGATGCGCGATTTGTCGGGCAACAGCTCTTATGCGATTAAGAGCGCGTCCAGCAAGAGCCCGACGCGGCGCTCAGCTCCTGGCAAAGCACCCCCGTCTACCTCGACCTCGAGTCAGATGGTGACAACATCCCGGACGCCGAGGAGGGCACGGTCGACACGGACAGCGACGTCACCCCCGATTACGTCGACCCGCTCACCGGGTCTTGCAAGCCAACCAATCTCTCACTCGGGTGCAGAGACACCGATTCCGCACGCTGGTGTCGTCATGAATGTAGTGGTCGCTAAGCAGCGGAAGGGTGGCCCCCCCTCGGCGCGCCGCGCGCTTGACGAGACCATCGGCGCGGCACGTTTGCTTCGTGCACGAATGAGCCCAATGTACCCCATGGCGCTCGTCCATAACAGCGAGGCAGCCAGTCTGCTGGAGGCGGCTAACGCTCAGCACCTGTGGGACTTGCATGTGCCTCTGACACGCGGCGAGCGCACCGCCCCGGAGCTGGCGGCGCTGATTGATGACCTGCGCACCTCGAACGAAACCTCGTACAACGCACGCGCACAAGAAGGCATGCTCATCTTCTATCTGGGCAAGTTTTCAGCCTACCTCCTCTCGCCTTTTGAGCGCTCCCTCTTTCTCGACAGCGACGTCTTCGTCATGGAGCCCACATTTGTCCACAATCTACTCGCCAAGTCACTTTCAGTCGCCGACGTGGCCGCGCCTCTCGATCCAAACCGAAGGAAGCAACCCTTCGCTAATCACAGCGCCCCGCTTCTATGCAGCTGCATCGTTGCATTCAACAGCTCCTCAGCTGACGTGCGCAGCTTCTTTGTGGGCGCAGCGAAACGACTGCTCTGGCGGCAGCACACCCGCCTCGACGATGGACCGGATAAGGGGGAGAACACCAAGCCCGAAGTGCGACAGGGCGACCAGGAGATGATGTGGTTTGAATGGACTAGGGGGGTCCACCCCCGGCTCCGCGTGCTTGTGCTGCCCGAGGAGGCATACTGCCCGATGTCGACCCGAATCGACCGGTCGGGCAAGTTCGCCAAGTGGAGCACGAATTTTTGGGGCTACAGTTATGCTTGCCAAAGCGTGCACGGTCACAATTGCTGGGGTTCCATTAAGAATACCGAGGCGTACAAGTCGCTGCCGCCGCTCCGTTGACGTGGCGAGGAAGGATTCCTAATGCGTACGTAATGGATGTTTGATAAAAGAAACTAGCAGCAGTGTGAGTGAAGTTAAGGAGCGTGAGGACTGAGGTACAGAGTGAGCCTTTTCGCACACCCCTCCGACCCACCCCGCGCCGTGGTTTCTGGTTATCCTCTCCGGTCAGCCGGGCGTTCCAGGTACCATTTTTAGGTGATCTGAATTTGAAGGGTACACAGCACGGCTTTACACAATCATTACACAGGAACATCATGGCGGCATCCGGCAAGTAGATGCGCACATTCATAGAGAGACCACATAGAGAGAGAGAGAGAGATAGGTCGGCGGGCGGTCTCCGCTCAGACGGCCCTCGCGCACCTGCCGCGCCACGCGGGTGCAGCCGAGGCCTCCGCCTGCACCACCACCTTCCTGCTTGCGGGCAGCTCCTTCGGCACCGTGAAGCTGACCAGGCGGCCGTCCCCCGCGCTCGCGAGGAGCCACTCGCCGGGCTTAGACTGCAAGGGCACCTCCGCCTCGAAGTAGGAGGGCTGCGGGCTGTGCGTGGCGCCGGCGGGCGCGTCTCCCCAGCCCGGCGAGCAGAGGAGGGTCAGGTTGGTGCAGCCGGCGCTGGGGACGACGAGGGCGGCGAGGGTGGGCGCGCTGCCGCCCGCCACGGGCTCGCAATCCTGCCGTGAACCGCACCCGGGCGGCACCCGGACGAGCAGGACGCTGCCGACTCCGCTGCCGCCCACCGGCACCTTGACCGCCACGCGCTGCTGGCCCGCGTGCACCGCGGAAGTGGCGGCCACCGGCTCGGGCAGGCGGCCAGTGCCGATTGGCTCGCTCAGCGGGTGCGGCAGCGGGGCGGGCGAGAAGCGGACCGAGCCCCCGGCGGCGAGCGGCGCGTGCAGAGGCACCGCCACCAGCTCGGCGGCGCGCCCTTCGCCGGCGGGGAGGGCGGACATCACCAGCCCGCCGGCCGCGACGGACCTGCCGCCCGCGCGCGCCTCGAACGTGTCGCCGGCGCACGAGGGGGCTGCAGCGGCTGCGGCGGGGCCCTGGCTGCGCGCGGCGTCGAGTTGCGGCACACGCGGCACGTCGGCCGCGCCGTCCTCTTGCAGCGGCGGCAGCCGCATCGCGAGGCCCCCTCCCCGCCACGCCGCCGGCACGCGGAGGAGGAGGCGCCGCCCCGCCACCTCGGCCAGAAACGTGCCGCCCGCCGCCACGCCCTTCGGCGGCGCGACTAGGTACGTCGCGCGGCGCGCGGCGGCGAGGTCGGCGGCGGACGACGGCGCGGGCGGCGGCGCGTGGCGGAGAGCGAGCGGCGAGGAAGTGTCGTCGGCGAGCGGCTCGTCGCGCTGCTGCTGCTGCTGCTTCTGCTGCTTCAGGTACTGCAACGAGGAGAGCGCCTTGAAGACAACGCCCTTCGAGCTCCACTGCGCGGCCTGCTCGAAGACCGCCGACAGCTCGTGGTCTCTCTGCGGTGCGGCCAGGAGGAGGGCGTCCGCCGCCGGCGCCGTCCGCGTCGCGGCGGCGGCTGCCCTCTCGCGCGGCTCGCAGCGCGGCGCGCAGCGCGGCTCGCAGCGCGGCGCGTATGCCGCCCGCACGGCGGCGGAGGCGGAGCCGGCTGGCTCGGGCTGCTGCGGGTCGGGATGCTGCGGCCGGCGGAGGGCCCCGTCCGACTCGGCGGGACCCTCCGCCGGCCCCACCACCCCGCCGAGCTCCTCCTCGGACACGCACTCCCACAGGTTGGGCGGAGGGCCGTCGCGCCCCCGCGCCGCCCCCCGCCCCGCAGCTGCCTTCGCCGCGCCCTCCCTCGCGCCGCTGCCGAGATGCGCGTCGCTCGCCCGCCGAAAGTCGCGCCACTGGTCGAGCACGTGCGCATACACGCCCGACGGCACCGGGTGCCAGCAGTGCATCCGCCCGGCATGCGGCTGGCGGCCGCCTCTCCCGCCGCCGCCGCCGCTCCTCCCGCCGCCGCCGCCGCTCCTCCCGCCGCCGCCGCCGCCGCTCCCGCCGCCGCCGCCGCCGCTCCCGCCGCCGCCGCCGCCGCCGCGCCAGAAGCTCGCAGCCTCGGGAGCGCCGCCGTCGATTGGCAGAGGCGTGGCCGGGTCGAGGGGCCCGCCGCGGTGGACCACGTCCTGCCCCGCGTCCTCGAAGCTGCCGTACGCACGCCAGCTCGGACCCACAGGCACGCTCCAGCGCGGCGCGAGCCGCTCGGCCGCCGCCCCGCCCTCCACCTGCCTGCCCTCCTCCTCCTCCTCCTCCTCCTCCTCCTCCTCCTCCTCCTCCTCCTCCCCCTCCCCCTCTTCGGGGTGGGCCTCGAACGGCACCATCGCCGTCGAGGCCACGCCCTGGCCGCTGCGTCCGCCCACCCGCGCTGCAGCCCACTCCTCGAAGCCCGCAAGCTTGAGGACCACCCTTGGCACGGGTCGGCTGCCCTCGCTGGCGCTGCTGACTGCTCGGCTGGAAGCGCGCCGCGGCCGGTTGGCGGGATGAGACTCCCGCTCAGCCTCACCGGCAACTTGGTCGGCGTCCTCGCGCTCGACATGGCTGCCGTCGGCCGCCGCCGCCAACGCTGCGTCGGCATCCTCAATCTCGACATCGGCCACCGCTGCCGCCGCAGCACCGCCGTCCGCAGCCGCCCTGCCGGCATGCCGCCGTTTCGCAGCGGGCTCGCCAGCAGACGGGGTCGAGGTGCTGCGGCTGCGGCGGCTGCGGCGCATCTTGGAGCCGGGCGAGCCCCGAAGGTTACACTTTCTTTCTTGAAAGTCCACGACGTCGGGGAGAGGCTCGTGGGAAAAGGGTGGCAATGTGGCATCGGTTGGCCATACGGGTTTGGAAACACGCTGGATAAGGCGTTGACGGCGGTCGTGGGGTGCAAGGAGCGTGGCCGGCAGGTGGACGGGCCGCTCGACCACTCGACTGGAAAGGGATGGGTCAAAGACCATGCGTATGGAGACGGATGGGTCGAGAAGAATGGGTCAAGGAAGTGGACGGGGGCGCAGTACTACGACGCGAAGTGGGTCAAGAAAGCCATAACGCGGCTGGTGCTCGTTGAGACTTTGGGTGGCATTGCACCGCCCACCAAGCAGTTTCTCCACGTGTTCGCCAAGGAGGCGGCGGGCAGCAAGACGGACCGGACGGAGTACGGGGCGGCGTCGGCGAGCGCCTCCTCCTTCGTCGTCCACCACACGCAGCAGATCTCCATGGCGGCGGTGGCGGGCGACGCCGACAACATCAACAAGCAGGCGCGCAAGATGCGCACCAACTGGATCAAGAACAAGCAAGCGGCAAACGGCTTCTTACGCTCGGCCCCAGTGGGGGGTGCCCGCGCCGCCTAGCTCTGCGGACGGCCCCCCCCACCCTTCGTGTAATCATGTAGTCCCCACAATCGCTGACGTGGGATCGCTTGTCATGTGAGAGATTGCGTTGTGTTCTTGTTTCGTATCCGCTTTCTCTTTATCAAAATCCTGTCAGCAGTTCACCTACGGGTATGTTCGTAAGAGGCTGGCGTCTTGATCAAAAGAAGAATTTTAGTCCGGGCGGTCGGCGAGGGGGTCGTAGTGGGCTGGACGTACGGGGTAGCCACCACTTTCCTGCCTCGAAAGGGCGGGGCTGTCCCGGAAAGTGAGAAACGCCGGGCAGCGTGGTGCACGATTTCAACCTCCCATACGTGTTTGTTTCGCTCCTTTCCTCGGGCTGTTCCAGCTTCCCATCTCCTTCCAACTCAGGCGAGGCGGGGGGGGGGCGTGGGTGCGGGGTGCGGTGCGGTGTGAGTGTGTGTGTGTGCGTGTCATGTGGCTACAGCAAGTGTCCGTCTGTCTGTCTTATTATTAACAACGAAGGCGCTCTCAAAAAAAGAAGAAAATTTTTACAACAAAGCTCCCTCGCACAACACTGGGCACGGGACTGGCGCGCACTGGCACTAACACAGGTACACCAGGTGTTGTGCAAAAGAAGAATGTAAACAAAATAAGTCTCTCTCACAGCAGACAGGCTCGACACAGGTGCGAACTGGCGCGTGCTAGTACTATCACAGACAGGCACACCACCGGAGCCGCCTAAGCGACTCCGTTAAGAGCGGCAATGCACTTAGCACCGTGCACATCAATGCCGCTGTCCCGCACGCTAGCTCGTTCACCGTCTGCCACGCCACGGCGGTGTGGAGAACGACAGACAAGCGCTGCAGATGCAGCCCGTGCCAGTTCTTGGTGGTCCATGTGACCTCATCGAGGTGCTGAGCGTGCGAAAGTTTGTTACTCAGCTGGTCCGCCGCCTGCCGAAGAATTTTGCGGACGCCGTTCCCGAAGCCGCCGAACGTCTCGAAGTCGAGCAAACGCAGGTCGCAATTCTTCTCCCGCGCGAACCGGTAGTCGCCCTTCTCGTAGGGGGCCGTCACAGGTGCCCCGCCTCCGCCTCCCCCTCACTCTCCTCCTCCTCCTCTTCCGCCGCCGCCGCCTCCGCCTTTGCATCTTCGGTTTCCCCCCCCCCCCTCCCCCCCCCCTCCCCCCCCCCCTCCGGCCGCGGCCATGCAGCATGCCCTAACACTAAGTCGAGCAGCGCCCGCTCGGTGTTGCCGAAGGCGACAAAAGCCCCCTTCCAGCCGAGCCGATCGCCACCCTTGCACGCAAGCGAGCTCGTAAGTTTCAAGTCGCCAACGAGGCGCACATGCCCTTTGCCGATGTTCGCCGCCGCCACGTCAGGTTGTTTTGGGTTACTGTAACTGAGGTGTGCAGTCGGCTCCATCTCGATGAGCATGCCCCACGCCGAGCGAAGGGTCTTGACGAGTCGTTTGCGCAGGTATTTGTGTCTTGTCGCGTGCTTCGCACGCGGGTTGACCATTGCGGCATCGCCGAGTTCTTCGTGCGGCTTGCCGTTTGGCGCCTTCTTGCCCGCCTCCACCGCCTGGCAGGCAACATCGAGCGGGAGGCCGAGGCGGCGCTGAACTGTAATGCGCATCGCCCACGTCTCCATCTTCATATCATCCCGCATGGGGATCGCATTCAGGAAGGCGCCAGCCCCCTCCTGGCTGACTGCGACGAACCGAATCGCCTCGCGCCAGCACTTGTGGTTCTTGCACCTGCCAGTCTTGTAGCGGCCGCCCCGCCGGGATGCCTCGCTGACGAAGGCTTCGGCGAGGGCGAGCCAGTTGCGATGGTGTACGCCGGAGGTGTACCGCCGCTGCGCCTGCTGTAAGAATTCGCAGTAGACGAAGTCATGGCTCCTCATGTGCGCGCAACGCCCAACCCCTGCCCGCGAGACGCCAAACAGCCCTGTTGTGCACCATAATGCCGAGGGCCGTCGCACCCAGCGGCTCGACCACCTCACCAGACGGCTTCCTGGATGCTCTCCGAGCACGACGAGGATGCCGCGGGTCAGGCGGATGAGGCACCGGGCCACGGGAGCGCGGCAGAGGGAGAGGACGAGGCCAGAGTCGGATGGAGCGCGAGTTCCGCGAGTTCCACAAGCGGAGGGCGGCGGAGAGCAAGCGCGTGCGCAAGGAGGTGGAGCGCTCGCGAGCCGCTGCGAGGAATCGGCAACAGCAGCAGCACTCGGCGCAGCAGGCGGCAAGAAGAAGAGGGCGCCCAAGACGAAGGTCGCGGATGAGAACCCGACGTCATGCTGCCATCACCCGATCGCCTGCGCCATTCGGCTCAAGGCCTTCGACGCGCTGGGCGAGCTACTGTCATTCGAGTTCTCGCCGCTCGGGACGCTTGATCGTCGGCTCACCCGTGTCCAACTGCTGTTCACACGGAACCTTTCTCCACTTCAGTCTTCAAAGTTCTCATTTGAATATTTGCTACTACCACCAAGATCTGCACCGGGGCCCGCTTCACCCAGGCTCGCGCCCAAGGCTGCGCCGCGAGCCCCGCGCCCTCCTACTCGCCGGCGCCTCGCGCTCGCGCCGGCGGCCGCGCATCGGTGGTCCGCTTGAGCGCCATCCATTTTCAGGGCTAGTACCTTCGGCAGGTGAGTTGTTACACACTCCTTAGCGGGTTCCGACTTCCATGGCCACCGTCCTGCTGTCTGGAGGTACCAACGCCTTTTGTGGTATCTGATGAGAGGACACTTGGGTACCTTAGCGCGGCGTTCGGTTCATCCCGCATCGCCAGTTCTGCTTACCAAAAATGGCCCACTTTGAACGCGCCGTTCGCCGCCCGGGATCACTCAAGCATCCCGGACCTCTTGCCCATTTGAAGTTTGAGAATAGGTGCAAGCTGTTTCAGCCCACAGGCCTCTAATCATTCGCTTTACCTGACAAAACCGTTGCGTTCAAGCTATCCTGAGGGAACTTCGGAGGGAACCAGCTACTAGATGGTTCGATTAGTCTTTCGCCCCTATACCCAGATTCGACGAACGATTTGCACGTCAGTATCGCTACGAGCCTCCACCAGAGTTTCCTCTGGCTTCACCCTACCCAGGCATAGTTCACCATCTTTCGGGTCACTCAAACCCCTCACAGCAGGTCAAGGTCGGTTGGCAGGGCATGCCCTTCACTTTGTCACATCAATCCTCGCTACCCAACGCCGCCAAAGGATATCCACCTCGAGATTGTTGCGAATGTTTTCCACACCGAAGCTCAACGATGCCACGGCGCCTGGATACTGCACGTTAGACGGACACCCTTCGATCAGACGACGGAGTTTCAGGTTTCCCCAGTCCCTCCCTCTCCCCGCGCCCCGCGCGACGCGGCGCGTGTTGGCCTTTGCGCGAGCGTGCCCGGCCGCTTCGCCCCCCATCCCATGCGCTGCAGCGCGCTCGTGCCAGTGCCCCCCTTGCTGCAAACGCCCCGCGCGCGGCTCGTTCCGAGGCTCGAGCGACACGAATCTGGCGCACACCCGGATCGCGGGCAGAGCGACGGCCCAGCGCGCAGCCGCGAAGCGCCTTCATGCCTACTGCGCCCCCGCGACCCCCAAAACAAGCCCGCGCCGTGCTCGTCCCATTTTATGCTTCTGACGCTCGCTCGCCGCCTCCTGCGCTCTCGCAGATCCAAAACAACGTGGGCGAGACGGGCGTGCCGCGGTGTCCTTGGTGCCGGGCCTCAAGCTGCGTGCGCTGCGAGTAGGTGCGGCCCTCTTGAGCCCCCCTTCCTCTCGATTCCCCCCCTCAAAGACGCTCTCGGAGCAGAGAGAAGCAGCACTGGTGGCCCGGAACACGATGTGCAGCAATCAGAGCAGGAGATTAGCCGAGATTGAGCGAGATTGAGCCGAGATTTCGTCAATTGACATAATTGACGGAACTTTGACGAAATTCGTGGATCTGCCCTGGGGCGAGATTGACTGGTCACAAATTGACTAAATTGACGAGATCACCCCGAGATTTCGTCAATTAGCTTAATAATTGCCCGCCGAGATTACCCGAGATCGCTTCCGAGACCGGTATGACACTTCCGCACCTCTTTGTGGAGGCGCTCTATCGCTCGTTCTGATGCGCCACCCGAGATTGCCCGAGATTGTCATCAAGTTTCGTCAATTAATTTTAATTGACGGAATTTGACCTAAATTTGGAGCGCCCCCCTCCCCCCGGCGCCCGAGCGTGAATATCACACACACCCCGATCATAGGTACGAGTGAACTTGATCAACAACATGTCAGAGAACAAGACGGAAGTGAAGGCCCGCATCATGCCGGCCGAAGACGGCAGCATCAAGGTCGTCTTCTTCTCCGCGCCGAAGTCGCCTCCGCCCCTCGTAGCCAAGGCGCTGCGTGTGCGCTTGCTGTCGCAGATCTCCACCCTTCTCCCAGCACGCTCCCCATTCTCCCTCGCCGACAGGCGAGCGGCGCCAAGAACGCACCCGTTGAGGACGACACCGTGGCCGTGTCCGGCGCGGCGACCGCCCTCGACGAGAGCATCCTCAAGCAAGATCTGGCCGCGGAAGGGGCGACCGCCGCGGAGACTGTCGACTCGGACCGGGCCAAGGCCATGTTTTCCGCCCACACGCCGAGCGCGAACGCCGATTTCTGGTCCAAGCTCGCGCGCTCGACCGACCCACCGACGGCCCCCAACGGCGTCACCAAGAACGGCCCGGCGCTCGAGCCGGTCGCCAAAGTTGCCACGGCTGTCAAGCCGGCGGCGGCCGGCGGCGAGACGCTGCCGTCGACCAAGGAGTTTCCAGCGGAGGAGCCCGCCCCTTCGGTGCGCCTCGGCTCGCACGCTGCGGTGCACACGCGGAGCCCCAACTATGACGCACCCACCGTTTGCGCGCGCGCAGGGCATCGCCGACTGGACCACCCCGTCGAACCCGCGCCGCAAGAACGGGCGCAAGGGCGCGTCCGCCCCGATCGTCCGCACCAAGAGCATCACCCCGGTCGGCGGCAAGAACAGGTTCGGGGCCCTGCTCGGAACGGACGGCAACGAGGGCATCCTCGGTGGCACCGGCAAGGTGACCGGCGGCTCCACGCCGCCGACCGCAGACTCGGTGCGCGCCGCCTGCATTTATGCGGCCTCCTCCCTCGCTCGCCGCTCTCACACGGCCAGTCTCGCGCCCTCTTGTTCAGGGCGCGACGGTCGACGTCGAGACGACCACGAATACCACGCCCGAGGGCTCTGCCGCCGGCCGGTTCCCGTGGTCAAAGTCCTACAACTTGCTCCGCCTCTTTGGCATCCTCGCGCTGATCTGCCTCGGAGCCGCGTTTGCGCACTCCTCGTGCTCTGCCACCTCCGCGCTTCTCTCCTCGCAGCGGTACGACTCCCCGTGGCCGACATCGCCTCCCGCAACCGTCGCGAAGCCGTTCACGCCGGCATCGCCCAACGGATTCTGCGAGGTTGGCGGCAACGACACCAGCTCGTTTGCAGCCATCGTGTCGTCGGACAGCGCGCCCGCCAACCACCCGGTGCGCGCTCGCTCGCGCGTGCTAGTATCCGCAAGCTCGCGACTAACAGCCCGCGCGCCGTTCAGGGCGGACACGAGGACGGGCCCTCGTGGGAAGCACTGATGGAAGCGATCAAAGAGGCGGTGGGCGAGCCGTTGCACCTAATTGGCGAGCCGCCGGCGTCCGTCAAGGACCTTTACGAGAAGCAGCCGGTGAGCGCCCCTCTGGCTGTTTCTATGTGCGAGCTTTGTAATCCGGTTCCGGATTGTGCCTGTTGTTGGCGTGTAGGTTGTGGCCGATTTGGAGACCGCCCCGGCCTCGCGCAACACCATGGAGCGCAAGGGCGAGCCCGAGATCGACTCTATCGGTCCCGTCTACAGCAGCAGATCGGGGATCATCGTTCGCGAAACCGTCCTGCCCGTGAACGGCACGTCGCCCGAGATGCGGTCCGCCGACGCTCACGCGGAGCCGGCATGGCCTGCAGAGGTCCGTGCCGCTCAGATCTCCGATTCGAACTCGGTCCAGTCCGATATCTCCTCCGTCTCACGTGTGTGCGCCGACCGGCAGCCACGCTGCGCCGCCCCCGTTGCGTGGCATGCGGAGCCTCACCACGCACTCACCGACGAGCGCTCCAAGACCGACAAGCCGCCCGCGAACGCGCCGGTCGACAAGCTCTCCATCGACCTGCCCTCCCCGTTCCACTTTCCCTTCATGAGCGGACCCTCCTCTTCCGCGCCCGTCCGCACCCAGCAGCGCTGTCAGTTTTGGGCCGCCTTGTTCGTGCTGCTCGGAGCGTGCGGCGGCGTGCTGCCCTCGGTGCGGAGGAGCAGCTCGGGGCGCCTCGTGCGGTGCCGGACGGGGGCGAGGCGTGGCGCGTGGCTGCTGATTCTCGCCGCGCTGCTCCCACTGGCATGTGCACCATCAGACCACACGTCTGGCTCAATCGACTTCCAGGTCACTGTGGGTGGCGGCAGCTACCCGTCCGAGGTGTCGTGGACTCTGGTGTGCAGCGGCGCGTTGATCGGCAGTGGAGGGGCCCCCTACTCTCGCACCCTGTCCGCGCCGCCCGGCGAGTGCACGCTCGACATGTACGACTCGTACGACGACGGCTGGACCGGCAACGAGTGGAAGGGTGCGGGCTATACGTTCACGCTCGACTCCGGATCCTCCGGCACCAGCAAAACGTTCATCCTCGCCCCCCTCCCACCGTCCTCTCCGTCCTCTCCGTCGCCGCCGCCTCTGTCGCCTCTGCCGCCGCTCTCCCCGGACTTTGTCGCCGCGTCGAGCGAGGCTAAGCTCCGCTCCCTGATCGCGGAGGCTGCTGTTTCGCAAGCCGACGTCTCAATCTACCTGCCGCCCAGGGCAGACTTCAAGCTGGGCAGCCAGATCAGCTGCTCCTCCGACATCAAGGTGACCGTCGCGAGCAGCGGCGAGGGCGCGACGCTCGACGGCCGGGGACAGATCGGGCTCTTTGACCTCTCGGGCGGCTGCAGCCTCACCCTGCGGGGGCTGAACCTCGTCAACGGGATGGGGGACTACGGCGGCGTTGTGTACGCGGACGGCGCAGGTGACGTCGAGATCATCGACTCGACGGTCAGAGACTGCTCGGCTGGCTATGTGCGCCGCGTAGAGCTAGCCGCCTCCCTGCAGCCCCTCATGGCAGCGGGGCGAGAGATGGAGAGGGCCACTGCCTCACACCCCGATCTCTCCTCGCAACCGCAGTCCGGCGGCGTCGTCTACGCGTATGTCAGCGGTGCGGTCTCGATAATCGACTCGGATGTGAGGGACTGCTCTGCTGAATACGTGCGCCGCGTAGAGCTAGCCGCACTCCAGCAGCGCCGCACGGTAGCGGGGCGGGAGATGGAGAGGGCCACGGCTGCCTCACCCCGCTCTCTCCTCGCAACCGCAGGGCGGCGGCGTCGTCCTCGCGTCTAGCAGCGGTGCGGTCTCGATAACCAGCTCGAACGTTACAGGCTGCTCGGCTGGCACTGTGCGCCGCGTAGAGCTAGCCGGCCTCCAGCAGCAACGCACGGTAGCGGGGCGAGAGATAGAGAGGGCCACGGCTGCCTCACCCCGCTCTCTCCTCGCAACCGCAGCACGGCGGCGTCGTCGACACGGTTCAGAACAGCGGGTCGGTCTCGATAAGCGGCTCGACCGTATCGGGCTGCTCTGCTTGGGTGCGCCGCGTAGAGCTAGCCTCCCTCCAGCAGCGCCGCACGGTAGCGGGGCGAGGGATGGAGAGGGCCACGGCTGCCTCACCCCGCTCTCTCCTCGCAACCGCAGAAAGGCGGCGTCGTCCACGCGTATGTCAGCGGTGCGGTCTCGATAATCGGCTCGGCCGTGACGGGCTGCTCTGCTAATGTGCGCCGCGTAGAGCTAGCCGCACTCCTGCAGCGCCGCACGGCAGCGGGGCGAGAAATGTAGAGGGCCACGGCTGCCTCACCCCGCTCTCTCCTCGCAACAGAAGGAGGGCGGCGTCGTCTACGCGACGAACAGCGAGTCCCTCTCCATCGCGGGTGTCGACTTCATCGACAACAGAGCGGGAATGTCCGGCTCGGTGCTGTACCTGGACGGACTCCGCCAACGCCCCTCGATCAGCGCCGCCTCCTTCACCGGCAACACCGCTGGCGACGACAACGACGGTGCCACGATACAGGCAGTAGTCATCTCGCCGATAAACTGGGACTGCCGCTTGGGCAGCTGGATGCCGCGCAAGGGCTCCTTTTTTGGCGACTTCAGCGTCCCCGAGTGCAACCTCTGCCCTGCTGGCTACTATGGGAACAGGAGCGGCCTCACCAACTCCTCCTGCGATGGTGCGTGTAAGCGAGGCCACTTTTGTCCCAAGGGCACCGCGGAACCGCTCCCGTGTGCTCCGGGTTTCTACATGCCCGTGATTGGCGCAGCCAGTGCCGAGTCGTGCCTCCCTTGCTCTCCGGGGACGAGCCAGTCCACAGCCGGCACGGACCGTCCCTGCGACGAGTGTCCTCCCGGCACGTTCGCCGATCAGCTCAATGCCACCAGCTGCACCGACTGCCCCGCGGGACGCTTCTGCCCGAATGCAGGCACCATCCAGCCCCTCGACTGTGCCGCAGGGCAGTACCAGAACCTCACCGGCCAGGCTGCGTGCATGCAGTGCCCTGCTGGCGAGTTCCAGGCGGAGCGCGGACAGACGGCATGCGACACGTGTGAAGCGGGTGGATACTGCAAGGCTACAGATGACTGCGGTGGCGGCTTCACACCCTGCCCTGCGGGGAGGTACAACGAGAAGATCGGCAGCAGCTCACCAGATGCCTGTCAGAAGTGCCCCCCCGGTACCTCTAGCCCGATCACCGGCGCAAACAGCAGCGAGACCTGCGCGAGCTGCCGTGCTGGGACGTTTGGCGGCGAGCCCGGGCTGAGTGAGTGCACGGACTGCCCTGCGGGCCGTTACCAGAACGACACGGGCGCGACGTCCTGCCGCGACTGCGAGAAGGGACGGTACTGCGCCAAGGGCGCGTCGGCGCCACTGCCTTGCGACGCGGGTACCTACTCGGACAAGACGGACCTCACCGCCGCCTCGCAGTGCGTCGACGCCTCGCCGGGCCACTTTGCCACCACCGGCTCCACAGAGCAGACGCCGTGTCGCGAGGGTAGCTTCGCCGCCAAGGCGCGCAGCGAGGCCTGCGAGCTGTGCGGCCAGGGCTACTACCAGAGCGAGCCCGCCGCCGCTGCCTGCGTCCGCTGCGCTCCCGGCAAGTTTTGCCCGGTGGGGTCGTCGCGCGAGCTGGACGCGCAGTGCGAGGCGGGCACGTACGCCAGGCTGACCGACCGGAGCGGCGACCCCGAGTGCCTTCCCTGCCCCGCCGGCTCGTCGTGCGGCGGCGGGGCGGCGCCGCCCTCCGAGTGCTCGCCGGGCTCTTTCGCCGCCACGGCCGGCCTCTCCGAGTGCGCCAGCTGTGCGGGCGGGACGTACCAGGGCGAGTCGAACGCGACGGGCTGCCTTCCGTGCGTGGAGGGCAGCTACTGCGCCGAGGGCGCGTCGGCGCCGCTGCCGTGCGTTGCGGGCAGCTACTCGCGCGCCACCAACCTCTCCGCCGCGAGCGAGTGCACCGACGCCTCGCCGGGCTACTTCGCCACCACCGGCTCCACCGAGCAGACGGCGTGCACCAAGGGGTCGTACACGAACGAGACCAGGCAGGGCGAGTGCACGCCCTGCGCCGGCGGCACGTACCAGGACGCGGAGGCGCAGACGGCGTGCAAGCCGTGCGAGGCGGGCGGCTACTGCGCTGTTGGCGCGGCGGCGGCGCTGCCGTGCGAGGCTGGCAGCTACTCGAGCGCCACCAACCTCTCCGACGCGAGCGAGTGCACCGACGCCTCGCCGGGCTACTTCGCCACCACCGGCTCCACCGAGCAGACGCCGTGCTCGCCGGGCACCTTCACCGCGCTCGCCAGACAGGGCATCTGCCAGAGGTGCCCCGCCGGCGAATCTCAGGACTCGAGCGGCGCCACCAACTGCATCGCGTGCGTGCCGGGCCATTACTGCGCCGAGGGCGCCTCTGCGCCGCTGCCCTGCCCCGCCGGGACGCGCATCAACGCCTCCCTCGACCTCATGACGAGCAAGGACGACTGCATCACCTGTCCGGCCGGCACGTTTTGCCCGACCGGCTCTGATGACGCCATCGACTGCGCGCCGGGCACCTTCACCGCCCTCGCCGGACGGAGCATCTGCCAGAAGTGCCCCGCCGGCGAATATCAGGACTCGAGCGGCGCCACCAACTGCATCGCGTGCGTGCCGGGCCATTACTGCGCCGAGGGCGCCTCTGCGCCGCTTCCCTGCCCCGCCGGGACGCGCATCAACGCCTCCCTCGACCTCATGACGAGCAAGGACGACTGCATCACCTGTCCGGCCGGCACGTTTTGCCCGACCGGCTCTGATGACGCCATCGACTGCGCGCCAGGCACCTTCACCGCCCTCGCCGGACAGAGCATCTGCGAGAGGTGCCCTCGCGGCACGTCCTCCGGCGCCGGCAGCTCTTCCTGCGACGAGTGCGCTGCCGACACTTACTCCGCCAACGAGGGCCAGGGCGAGTGCATCCCCTGCCCCTACCCTCTTGCTAGCGGCACTGGCAGCGTCACCTGCTCCGTCTGCAAGGCGGGATTCTACCTGAAGGCGAGCGCCGACCCGGCCGACGTCTTCTCCTCCCCGACCGACTACTGCAAGCCATGCCCATCGGACGCCGCGTGCCCGGTCGGCACGACCCTCGAGACCCTCGGCATCCCGCCCGGCTTCTGGCGCGCCAGCTTCTCCAGCGCCGAGCTCACAGAGTGCCGCGCCTTTGGAGGGGATGGCCAGGCGGGCCAGGCGCGGTGTGTCGGCAATGTTGATCCGGGAGAGGCTAGCGGTCGGAGGGTGCAGGAGGCCGGCTTGGACTACTGCGCAGACGCCTTCGCCGGCCCCGAGTGCCAGCTCTGCCGCGAGCCGAACCACTACCTGGACGCCGACGGCGCCGCCTGCAACGAGTGCGTCGCTGTCGGCACGGCGGCGGGGCGCATGGCGGGCACCGCCCTCGGCCTCTGCGTCGCGTTTGGCCTCGTGGCGTTGGCGTACTCAGTTCAGCGCGGGCAAACCGAGTGGAGGAAGGAGCGCTTCATCGGACTTCCCTTGCGCATCGCCGACCGCACCGGTGACGCGATTTACAAAATCGGCCTCATCCCCAAGTTCAAGATCTTGTTTGGCTTCTACCAGGTCTGCCTCGTCCTCTCCACCACCTACTCGGCGCGGCTGCCGGAACGGTACACGGGCTGGACGGAGGCGCTGGCCGAAGCCGTCTTCATCGACTGGTCGGGCATCGTGCTGCCGGTGCAGTGCCTGCCGCACAAGTCCCGGCTCGTCGCCGTCGCGATCTCTCCCATCGGCGTCATCGCGCTGCTCCTCTTTGCTGGCATTGTCTTGCGGCTCTGTGCTCGCTGGCGGCGTGCTCGGCGAGGGGCTGGCTGCGAGAGCGGCTCCGAGGTCGACGGCGCGACAAGCAACGTTCTCGGTGGCGAAGCACAGCTGCAGGAGCCACCATCGTCTTCAGCTGCGGAGCCACCGACGGCGCTGGCCGAAACTGACGATGCGGCGGTCTTTTCATGGCCTGCAGAGGTGGCGCTCGGCCTCCTCGACCTCACGCCGGCGGGTCTCGTGCTCATCTTTCTCTTCGTGCCGTCTGTGAGCGCCACGATCTTGCGCGCGTGGTCGTGCCAGGTGCTAGCCACAACTAACAAACAAGCCCCCCCCCTCCCCCCCCCAAAAAAACCCTTAGCTGTGTCGATGTGCGTGCGCAGGGCTACACCACCTCTGCGCCGGGCGAGACGCTCGCTCTGGTCGAGTACATGCGGCAGGACGCGAGCGTCGAGTGCGGCACCGACGAGCACGACTCCATCACGAGACTCGCCATCGGCTTCGTCGTCATCTGGCCGGTCGGCTCGCTAGTCCTCTACTCGGCCCTTCTTCTCGCATGCTACAAGCCGCTGCAGGCCAAGTCGCCGAACGCGCTGACGAAGGCCACCGCCTTCCTTCACCGGGAGTACAAAAGGAACTGGTACTGGTGGGAGGCGGCCGATCTGGCGCGCAAGCTCTTTCTGACGGGCTTCGTGCTGCTGGTTGCCGAGGAGGAGGACTCCTTTGTTCGTCTCGTCGTGGCGGTGCTCGTGTGTTCGTGCTACGCCGTCGCGATCGCCCTGGTCCAGCCCTACAAGCGGTTCGAGGACAACATCCTCGCCGTGGTGCGCCCTTCGCCCAATCCCACACGCCCTTTGCGCTTGCTTGTGCTGCAGCTCTCAGCACACGCTTGGATCGCCGTCGCCAGTCCATCACCCACCCCACACACGCACTTGCCACTGCAGTCCACTCTGAGCCCAACGGACGCGGCTCGCACTGCAGGCCACCAGCCTCGTCCTCCTCCTCCTCTTCCTCGGTGCCAGCTGGACCACCATCTTCCTCAACATCGAGTTGCGATTCCCCGGGGACGAGCCGGGGCAGTCGGCCTCCGCCGTCCTCGGCTTCAGGTCTGAGAATGGACTGGTGAACTGGATGCTCGTCCTTGCTGCGGCTGCGCTCCTGATCTTTCTCGTGGGTACCATCATCGCCATCCGCCGCCTTGCCAAGGTCCCCACGATTCGCCTCGTCTCAACCAAGCAGCCCCCCGAGCTGGCTCTGGTGGACGGCCTCACGTGGCACCTCTTCCTCTCGCACATCTGGTCAGTCCTGTGGTCAGAGGGAGACGCGGCGTAGGAACCCGCCAGACGACCCGCCACTCCCCGAATAGGTCCACCGGCCAAGACGCCGTCGCGGTCATCAAGAATGAGCTTAAGCTCTTGATCCCCGGCATCAAGATCTTCCTCGATGTGGACGATTTGAAGGACATCGGGTCGCTGGAGGATTACGTTGACCGCACGCAGGTCATGCTCTTCTTCCTGTCGAAGGGCTACTTCCGCTCGAAGGCACTCCCCCAGCCCCTCCCTTTCCGAGAGTGCCTCGCTGTGTCGCCCACGACTACTCGTGCGCTCCTTGCCTGCAGAACTGCCTGCGCGAGATTCAGACGTCGCTCGAGAAGAGGAAGCCGCTCGTCCTCGTGCAAGAGGCGGACCCGGCCAAGGGCGGCGGGACGCTGCAGGCGCTCCCCGCCCGCCCCCAGCTCGATGACCCTGCGGGGATTGCTCTCGCCACACACGGCTCTGAGGGGCGGTGTCGCCGCCGCCGCCGCACGCCAGCACTCACTCACGCA